GAAATTTATAATGTGATTTATATTATTAATCATGTGGTCGGCAGCAGCAGAGGTTTTCGCTTTTTTTAGTCCTTCTTTATGTTGTTACATTCTTTTCATTATACGTAGTTTGATTTGTTCATAATACACTTGACTACAACTATTGCATGACAGTTTATATACAACACCAATATCCATTGGATCTTTACCTTTGAAATTTCGAGAGAATAATTTACATAGTGTAAGTCCTTTCTTGAATCCAATAATGACTTTAGCTGCAGGATAAATTTGTTCGAGCATCATTTTAATTTTATTAGACATTTTGACCGTCTCAATATCTGACATGAAGTCCAGTGGAGAAGCTGACTGGTGTGAGTCTTTTTTTTGAATATACTCGTTTCAAATTTTGTTCGTTCTTTAATAACTTTCACATCTAAAAATGGTAATTCAAAATTGTTTTCAATTTCGTATGTGAATTTCAGATTTGGATGTAGTTTATTCATAAATTCAACTAAATCTTGAGCATCCTCTTCTTTTCAGCTAATAGAATGAAAGTATCATCAACATATCTCATGTATAATTTGATTTTTTCGTAGTGTTCATATTGTTGTAATTGTTGTTCGACGTTTGTCATGAAGATATCTACAAGGACGGGTGCCAACGGACTGCCCATTGAGACTCCGCCCGTCTGTAGAAACAATTCATCGTAGAAACGAAACGGTGTGTCAGTGACGGCAAACTGAAATATTTTTCTAAGATCGTTAGCAGTCAATTTTGTAAAATTTTTCTCACTTTTCTTTTTATCCATTATTATTTTTATTGCTAATTCAATTGCTTCATTTACATCTACGTTGGTGAATAATGATTCAACATCTAAACTCAACATTAATTCATTTTTATTTACTTTCTTCTGTTGAATCAATTTTGCAAATTGAAATGAATCTTTAATGTAGAATGGTGGTTTGGATCTTGTACGTTCAAGTAGACTAGTAAGATATTTAACTAATTTATAATTATAACTATTTGTTGTAGAAATAATTGATCTTACTGGAAAGCCAATCTTATACACTTTTGGTTGAGCAAAAAATACAGAACATCGAGATTCAGTACATTTGATATAATCATAATCATCTTGAGATAGTTTCTTGATCGTTTCAGTTCATTTAAACGATAATTTAATTTGCCTTCCATTTTCTTCACTACATTTTCAATTGTATTTATTTTGCCTTTCTCATCTTTATCATTCATTTTCCGAAAAGAGTTTCCGGATGATAATAATTCTAGCACTTTCTATTTATATTGTTCTTTATCCATAACTGCACATGATGAGCCTTTATCAGCTTTCATTATAACTATCGGTTTATCTTTTAATAGACCTTTTAATGCAGTCAGTTCGGTTTTATTCACGTTGACAACTTTCTTATTTTTATTACTTTTCAATGCCTAGTTTGCCGAACGTCGAATACAATCAGTTAAACAAGCGTTCAATGAAGTAGCTTCAGGTTTATCTAACTGTTTCAAAATGTTGAAGGCCATCATTTCGATGTCTGTTTGAAATTCAATTGAGTTCTTAATTTGCATTTCAATACAGAACTGTAATCCTTTACTTAAGATTGATTCTTCGTCTGGTGTTAGAAGGGGAGATGAGATGTTGTGAACGACTTTTTTAGGATCAATTTCATCTAAAATCGCATCGCCCTTAGATAATTGTTCAATTTTCTTCTTGTGTGTTGCTTTAATTTGTTTTTTCTCCTTTTCATAATTACTTCTTAAATGTTGTTCCAATAATTTAAATTCAAGTGGATTCAGCTTGTTTTTAATTGATTGCAGTGATATTTTTAATTCATTTTCTAATTTGGTAGATTGTTTGCATTTGTTATCATATTCTAGCTGCAGGTAACGTCGTTGATGTTGCTGATATATGTTGTGCTTCATATATCTTTTGTTCCAAAGTTTAAATCTCACAAATTTTGGAAGCAGTTGATACGAGACAGAGACGGACGAACTCTTGATCATGTTTTGTTTTTAATTCTTTACTAGATAACTTCTCAATTTTTCTTACTTCTTTCACTCTACCTCGACTGTATTTTGATCCGAGGCGTTTAATAATATGAACTTCATTTGATAGTCTAGTATATCTGATGGCCTAATTGATGTGTGGGGCGAACGTAAAGACGGTGTTGAGACATAAAGACAATGTTAAAAGATTGGTCGTTCGATAATGAGAAGTTCCACATCAGAGCTTAAACCAAAATCAAAACACAAAAATCACAATCAAAAAATATACATTGATGGATGGCATCAAGTCATTGCACAACTTCAATCATTGTGCACCTTAGTGAAACTTCTTGTACCTAAGATCTTGCATTACGAGATATCACAAGATCTTTGAAACATCAGAAGTCAAGATCTTGAATCCTTGAACCTTCCACTGAAGATCTTGGCCAAGACCTTATGAACAGCAATTTCAAGATCTTGAGTGAATCCACTCAAGACGTTCAAAGAGTTTGAGTGAAAAATGTTCTTTACATTTTGTTTTCATTTATCACAGCCATCAGATATACGACCACTGGTCGTATATGATATAGAATCATAGATTCTACCTTAAACAATTATGTTAAAGGAGGAAAACAATTCGAAATTATTTTAAGAGTCATGTCGCATAAGCGACGACAGACACTGCTTAAACGTATATCATAGAACCCGTTCGAACGAAATCATAAAAGAAATATAGACGCTTCTGAGTAAAACGGCGTTTTTCGTTTGAAAAAATATTGCTTGGTTACTGAGAAACGAGCATTTTAAACTTTCGATCAACTTTTGAAAAATGCGACATCTCTGATATTAATAACTTTGTATTGCTCATATCTCGGCAATCATACAAGATAAAGAGCTCAACTTGCTTTCGCTCCAATTTGCTTTCGCTCAAATAAAAACTGCGTCGAAAGTTGGCTGCAAAAGTCAGTTTTCAAAATCAATTTTCTCTTGTGGTATACGACAAATTTTGGAAATATTTTCGTGGATAAGTAGTTCCAACCTTGATCTATCAATAGATGAAAAAATCTCGGTGGGTAACGTTAAGCTCACTGGAAGCACCTAGTGCTCCCGAGAGTAGGTATCACGTAGAAATTATTAAATTTTAAGAATAGTATTTTGCATTTTTGTTTTGAAGAAAGTATTTTAAAGTGAAACTAAGCCCGTATTCGTGATTAGTATCAGAAGCTGAATCTAATAATGATATCTAATAATAATTCAGTCATTTTCAGAAATGTCTATATTTTTTATGATTCGTTCGAACGGGTTCTGTCATATACGTTTGAGCAGTGTACTACGTAATCAAATCGCCGCTTATGTGAAATGGCTTCTATTTACACAAGAGCGTAAAACGAATTTCCAAGATCTTCGTACAAGAAGTCAAGATATTACAAGATGTCCAAGATCTTGACTCCGTGAAATTTCTTGAATTTCTTACATTTTCGTACCAAGATCTTACTGAAAACATTCAAAAAGTCAAGATCTTGGTAACAAGAAGTTCCACTAAGGTAGCGTTTGCTGAAGCTAAGAAATTAAGCTAAGAAAATTAGAACTGCTAATGCGGCAAGGCAGACGAACGTTTAGTGCAAAGAAACGAATCAATTAACGGAACAAACCAGTCGTCTTTTGATCAGAGTCTTTTGACCTTAACTAACCACGTTACAGCATGAAAAGATAAAAGAAAGAATTCAATTTCTTTTTTAAAATTAAACTGAAAAGTTCAGTCACAAATGTGAAAAATATGAGTTCAAGTCTTTTATACCTTCAGTCCCAGCCAACCCGTGCGGAAAAGCCTATCAGTCTGGACTCAGTCCCAGTCCGAACATGCATTTGCCCATCTCTGTTTTTATAACATAGCTCGTAATTTTTTTCATCGCTGGGGAGTGTGCATAATAACTGTTGAATTATAAATTTCAAGAAAAAGGAATATTATTTTATTAATAAAACCGAAAGGACAGATGACGACTGTAATATGCTTTATTTATGATATATGTGATAATTATTAATATAATGCTTAATTTGGTAAAAACGGCTAGAACATTTTGTTTTTGGATGATCATCCAGTTAATCTCAAATATGTTACAGGGTTTTTATGTGAGGATGCAATAAATTTTGAAGGTTTTGTGTAAAAGTATATTTTATCCAGAAAGAGTATAGTCTGACGTATAAAGAAGCTCTAATTCTTAGATCTGTTTGCCAATTCGAAATACCTGTCCAGTAATATATTTTCCTTGACGTAATTAGACAAAGCACCAAGTTTACTAAGGCTTTGCAACAATTCACACTAAGGATCTAAAAATGTTTTTATTTTCAATCAAAAAGATACCAGAATTGTGAGAGAAAAAATGGTGTTAGGACCTGGTACAAGAAGCATTCGAAACAAAAAGCGATGGTACAGTGCAAAATTCCCACTGAAAAAAAATTATAAAAAAACAAAAGACGAAAATAGTTAACGTTTTTCACTGCTCTTTCTTTTTCTGATCAAAACTAAACTAAATTTCTAAGTTTTTTTGCAGACAATAGCAAAAATGGTATAATATAGCTGATAATGGGTCAAATATATCACTAGCATTGCATCAGTTAATGATACATTACAAAAATAGTCAACTGGTAAATAGACAATAAAGTTTGATAAAACGCCAGATAAAACAAGTAAAAATGACAAGACCATTGTACGATGATTAAAGAAAGATAAAAGATGAAATTTTTGTGTAAAAACATTCTCGCTGGGAAAACAGGACGAAACAAATGATGCAGAACTTGTAAAGGATGGAAATACAATAGTGCATGACCAGCTGTATTGAACAAATAGCTAAGACACCGGAAATTCAAAACTTAAGCTTTAGTTCATCAAAGCTATGTTTCTCATTGTATTCTATTTGGATTCGGAGACCGGACTTATCAATGGAAACTACTGTGTTGAGCATATTTATATAAGTTCACAGCTATGGATCTTTTGGGTAGTTTGGAATTTGTAGAATCCGATTTTATTGGACTTTGCCATAGTCCGTTGGGCTCTCGACCATCAGATAGTGACGCAGGCCATATGTTAAGTTTGTGAGATCATACCGAAAACCACGGTTTCTTACAATTGTTTGGAATCGCAATATCTTAGAATGTGCATTCTTTCCAGACTTGTTGCTTGATATTTGTTTCGTAACGTTTTATAGTAGGTCTCATAGCTTGCGCAGACATTTGCATAGTGTAGCAGGCTTTACGTGCATTTACCGTACTGTTGATTTATAAGCCTTATTAGTACAAGTACCATTCCTGGTGTTCCTACATTCATCATAGTTAAAACTGGAATGAGGATACGTTTATGACTGCTAGTTCACCTTTGATGCTTGAAACACGAGCAACACTCAAAGTTAGCGTCTTTCACCGCTCTTTCTTTTTCGACTCAAAACTAAACTAAATTCCTAATTTGCAATTTAAGTTGAAGATGAGGATCGAACGCAGTGTGAATTGGGGCTCTACGACCTTCCAGAAAATAGGTTTGCAAAAATGGGAAGAACTTTTTGGGCGTTTTTCGCTTGCATATTGAGTCGAAATAAAAATCATTTTTGCTAGCGCCTTACAGATTTGCTTGAAAATGTGCATATCCTGTTTGTATAGCTATTACTTTATTAATTTGCTTGAATGAGTTATCGTCATTCCTTTATTGTTGAAATAATCTAGTGTGATGTTGCACAAAATATTTGGCGTTGCTATTAACGCTGTTGACATTGAGTGGAGAGAAATAAAGACGTGTAATATACGGGATAGGTTACTTCATATATAGCATGCTTTGTGGTACTTACCAATTCTTCTGATATGTAAGTCAGATTTGACCGATAGTTCATTAGCGATATCATGTTACTAGGTAACACTCAGAATGTATGGCTGCTAATAAATTCTCTCTTTATGAGAATATTTCTTTTTTACAAATACGGAAGGTATGTTTAGTCTCGTAGAAACACTGGATAATTCAACAAGCACAAGGAGTATTAGTTTTCTAATGGTATCGCGTTTATCTATGTTCAAATGTGATTTTCGCCATAAAGAGAGAATTTATTGCTAGATAATTAGCCACAAACTAGCAGCCATATATTCTGAGTGTTACCTAGTAACATGATATTGCTGAAGAACAACATGATATCGATAAAGGAATGATGATATGGTATGAGGACTGACGACTAAGTGCATCCGCTATAGTGTCACTAAAACATATAGGATATTCAAAATTCGAACTGAAATTTATTGGATGAAAATTTTAGATTTAAATTAGCTTCAA